TCGTGAGCAAATGGTTCGCCACATCAGTTCACGAAAAACGTGTCTATATATGTTACCGGCAAACTGCAAAATCCGGCATTTTGCAAAATGCCTAGGCATCTGTGGAAAATAACCGAGTATTCTCACTTTGCCTGAATGTTTAGGCATTTCGCGAAATCCCTAAAGAAGGCAGGCGAAGTGCGAAGTCGAGTTCCGTTTCTCACTTTGCCCGCTGCATTAGTCATTTCGCAAAATGCCTAGGGATTTTGCAAAATGCCGGATTTCGCAGTTTGCCGGTAACATATACATTCAATTAATTCTGTTCCTTACTCACCTCCTTTTCCAAACCCCCGAACAACAGATTAGCGGCAAGTTTTTTTTTAATCTATCCGGCTGATGTTGCTGTGTGACCATGTCATCCTGCTTCAAAATTCCGCTAAGTAGCACAATTGTATTCAAATAAATTTGGTGCCGACACTTAGGAACTATCCCAACACATTTTACCACCACTTTGTACGGCGTTTATGATGAACTTGTTCACGACTTCGCCTCGTTAATGACGTTAATACACATGTAGGATAGAAGTTGTTAACAGCTTACTGAGGCAAGCACCCCCAGTTTCATAACAAAAATTCGGTCAAATGAACTGAGCAATAAATTTCACACAGCATTTAACAAAATTCGATGATGGGGGTGTTAAGTTAACGAACATTTGGAGGATACTGATTCCGAAACTCAGCATGTTGCCATGGCATTTTCTAAGAAGTAAGTTTTAATTTCGGTCAATCGTCAGTAACCTTCAAGGTCTAAATTTCAATCGTTTAATTCCCATTAACATTCAGCATGCACCAATTTTGGTAATGATGCCTACAACTTCAACACAGGTAAGTTGGTATAATTAATTAAACCTTCCCAGGAAAATGGCTTGCTGCTCTGCCCTATAAATAGGGTAGCCGAACTTTTAAGTTGCCCATATCAAAACTAATAAATAATTACCAATTGCATTCATGTATTCCCGGTTGCGCTTGCGTTTGTTAAAATAGAACGAAAACAAAATATTCTACGTTTCGCTAACCTTGCAAGCATATTATAATTAATGCAATTATCTATAATCGCCCAGTTTTTATTTATATTTCCCAACACTGTAAGTACAGCAGCTACAGGCACGCTTTTAGTCGTATAATCATTATGAAATTTTTAAACAAAGCTGCCGATAGTAAACCTAATAATCATCACACTTTGGGAAACAAGAATCCAATCTATACTAAAAAAAATTCTGGAAAACTATTACCATGTTAGTTTTACAGGATGTGGATCACTCGCAACATGAGTCATTAATTTAAATGTTAAATTAAAACAGTTATTTGTTTGGACAAGGAGGTTGCTTTAGATAATTATTTCGATTTAAATGATACAATATCTGAGTAGTAATAATAAATTACTTATCAATCATTTGATAGGGAAGGATTAATAATACTTACTTAATCACTTATGTGACAATTATCTGTGTGACGCACGTGTGGGTGTCTTATTGAGGTTGGAACAATCTGGCGGTTTACCATTTGCAGATAACATTAACTCCACAAGATTTAAAACAAACAAATTACATTACTAATACGACCTTTTTTAGGACATCGCACTTGGTGTTGTTAATTCAACGTCCGATGCACTAGTTTACAGACCCCGATTATTAAATCTGGATCGGGTTGAGATGATTTCGATGTTGTCCATTTAAAAATCAAATAAACGAACTTGCGTAGTATTTATTTAGATATGTAAATTATTTCAGAGTAGGTTAATAAACATTTGATTTCCCCCACGAGGAATAAACTATATGTATAATTCTGCTAATGATGGAATTATAACGGGGAAACATGTAGATAGCACTTCCTTTATAAGGAGGATGTAAATTGTAAATTAATTTAAAATGTCTCCTTTAGTCTGCAAATCTATCTCTGATTAGTAAACATAATAAATCTTTTTAATTGAGGCAATTATTTAATTATACGGCCCAGACCTACGTACGCCACACTATAAATAATTAAAATTAGTAATCAATGTCCAATTGCATACCAAATTTATATTGAACTCTCAATTTGTTTGTTTTAATGCGAAAAAAATTTCTGAAATTATTTTAAAAACCTTTTCTCCGTATCGTTTAATATTTAAATATGCAGTGCAGACGTACCTATTTAATTGCGTAAATATTTTGAAAATTTGTTCGAAACGTTTCTTTAATGCCGCGAAACTGCATCTGTCCAGTCTGTTTTACGTTTGATCACTCTAAAGGTCCAAAGTTCAAGATATAAGTACATTTTTGTAGCTGCCAATGACAACCCCGTCAATAATTTTATATCCTGATTGGTTAAAATAAACACATCAGAAAAAACTTGTGAAGCATAGATAGGAAAATTTATAAACATTTATAATCTTTGATAAATGTAATGCGCATAATATAAACAATGATACCTAGCCCACTCATTTCCCTGTTTGAAAACGGCGCCGTAAAATCCCTTATCTGAACCATTCTACATAATTATAATTATATGAATGGAACTTCTGTTTTTTATCCATATCGAGTGCACTTCCTAATGAATTTTATGTGCAGATGGATATACCGATATAGACAAGTTTTATATTATACTCTTCGTAGCCTATTATGGAAGCCAATAGCAAATGATTTTTTTATTTAACAGTATCATTGACTAATACTGGGGGAGTATTAGTCAATGACAGTATCAAAAAATGCGGCTTTAGTTATTAAACAAAAATTCGAAAGTACATCCCTATATCAATGAAACTACAAATCTGGATTTGGAATTTCCTGATATGCTATTACCCTCGCTACTACCGTAGAAAGCTTTGTTATCTCTTTGCTTCAAGCGTAAGTAAAACAGTCTACTGCACGGTTTGTGAACTTACAATTGTACCGTTCTGGAAATACCCAAGTATTAAATCGAGTAGGTATGATACCATAAACAATCCTAAAATTTGTAAGGATAGAGTAACACCTATCAAAAGCAGGGTTCATCTTATTTTGCACCAGTTCACCAGTAATACGTTACGAGTTTATTGCTGTAAACCAGATAAAAAAATGAATTGTCTCAATCTGTTCTTGGTACATAAGGAATTATTTATATCCGATCACGATAAGAAGTCGATGAGGAGGATTATGGTTGGTCAAAATTAACTCCTTTCGTTGAAACCTTTCATAAGAGTACGCCGTGAAGCATAAAACCAATCCCCCCCTTCGCCCCTAAATCCCGTCTTTGGATAAGGACACAGACAGAAGGGCGGTAGTTAGTAGAAATCAGTTCCTTTTGTTCAGACCTTTAATTACAATACCCACTAAAGATAAAATTAATTTCTACTCCCTCCCCTCCCTCTCGCAGCAAAATTTTACTTGGCACCACTAAACGCATGCATATGCAAAATTTGAGACCAGTTGGTTGTCGCATGTAAAAGTGCACGAGACACCGAAATTTGATGAACGTCTGGCACACCTTAAAGGTATAGGGTACGTATTTAGAAAAATTCCAGGTCTCTAGGACTATCCCCTAATCGTAATTCAAAACCACAAAGTGGGTCCGGACGGACAGACAGACAGACGGATGGGCAAAACGCAAACAATAGCACATTTGTTTTAATTCTTAAAAAAATGCGCTAAAAATATTAACGGATTTGGGTGAATTTCATATTTTTGATGCAGGTCAACACGTAACGATGTCTCGGGGTGTCGGTGGAATGTAACACGTTTACCTTTTCCTTTATAATAGGGTCTATCCGTGAATACGTCATAATAGAGGGCGAAATTCGAATTGCAGGACTTGACTATTTGATATTGACCCCTATCATCCTATGAATTAAGTGTCACTTTTAAATGGGTCATCTTTATGGGATTATGCGAGTTAAATAAGCACATCGACCCTCTTATATGGAAATATATCATATGCCTTATTGCCAACCGTAAAACGGAAATATGGTAGACACCGTAGACATATCTTTAATTTTTAATTATAACACAATTTAACGCTTATTGTTCGGTTTTAAAGTTAAGTAATCAGTGTTTCGATATAAAAGGGTCGATATGCTTATAATTCGCATCAGGTCAGTATAAGCCCATAGAGAGGACCTATTTAAAAGTGATAGTTAATGCATAGGGCGATAGGGGTCAATATTTTCGACAATATAATAGCTTAGTCCTGCAATTAGAATTTCCCGTTCAAATTAGACGTCGCACTAATAGACATTATCGTGACCACAATTGGAAAAATCAGAAAAATTACGTTTAGCTTCACTCAACGGTTTAGAGTTCTCCACCCTACTCCCCCTTCCGTTTAAGAACGTTTCTTATGTAGAGCTGCGAAACTGAGTTTAAATCATGGGTGGTCAACACGCGGCCCCCCTTGCTTCATCTTGTGGTCCGCGAAAGCAAAAGGAACGATTCCGATGAAAATGCGGGTATTTCATCCGACGTTGAAGCGGCTGTAGAAGAAGCTAGTTCGTATTATTACTTCTTCCGAACTCATGTCCAGCATACGAGGCAGCATATGCACGCTTTGAGGTGTGGGTTTAAAAAATCATTCTTACATGTCATGATGAAAAACTGTGGCACACCAATTTACGAACATGGCACACTCTAGCGCAATTTGAAATGTCTTTATTTATTTCTTTATATTATCAGGTAGGAAATTTATTTTTTATTTGGGGCAATTTCTGTTAAATGCAAATAAGGGTTAATGCTCATGAAAAACATTCACATCATCTCCATGGTAGCTATCTCCTACTGAACAGTCTGCAAAAGTCACATTCTTAGTGGCACCTGCTCTTACCTCTTACATTTACGTTTCATCATTGAATAAATAGTGTTTTTATTCAATGGTTTCATGCAGTGGGTCGTATCTCTTTCCTGTTAGAGATACAAAAAAATTCTCCTATCACTCCGTATCAGTTGTGTGAAGAGGGTATAAATCTGAAAGGCGTATGTACAAGTGTAATGTTACCTACGACTATCTACTCCCCATCATCTCCACCTCAAAATCTTAAAATGCACCTGCGACCGACCACTTCTTCAGAAAGCTCCGAAAAACTAATTCTCACTGTTGCCATAAACACGCATTTAATCTCATTGGTTGTTCACATTCGTCAATTGGCAAGCGTTAAAGAAAATAGACAAGTACTTACATAATATTATGTTTAATTAAAAGTTTCGATTATAATATTTTGTAGCTCGATCAAATTGGATTTTCTAAATTTAAAGTGAAATCCATCAGTGTAACTCAAAATTGACGTGTTACTTTCATTGCATAAGTAGATGTAAGAAACATTTCCTTTTGTGAATATAACTGTAACCACATAAAATACGATTATTTGTTAATTTCGAATGTGTATGTAATATATGTAATAAAATGTACTAAAAATAGCTTTCCAATTAAGTGTCGTAAATGAGAGATTTCAATTTAAAATTTCGAGGTGGGATAATTTACGAACAAGTAGTTGAACGGCGATCCCCATCGTCAGGGAACACGCGTCACCTCACAATACCCCTTGGAAGTGTGTCCATATTGCATTATTTAACATTATGATGTAAATTGTAGATGCCAATTAAACGTACACATCTCAGAGGTAACACCGCAAGATTTGTGGATGAAAACCAGAACAAAAACTTGACAAGCAAGAAATTTGGCATGAACATTTAGATATTGAAAAATTATTACAGACGATGAAACCTGGGTGTAAATTACTATACATAGAATCTTTCAATAAAACAAGAATCAGTCCTGTTGGAGCATAAAGAATGGCCACCATCAGAAAAGCAAAAACATAGTGTTCAACGGGAAAATTGACGGACCCGGTTTTCTGGGATAGTGAAAAAGGGTCATGTTGATAAAGACACTATTCAAACCTTAAAGCTGTCATTCGAAAGAAAATGCCTGAGAATTTTGCCGATAAGACCATACTGCTACCATTGTTTAAATAAAGTATTTAAACAATGCTGCTACACAATTGCAGTGGTCAAGGCTAAAAAAATTCGACAAGTAATCGATGAATGTCGCTCTAGGAATTAAGATATTCGCCCTATAGTCCGGATTTAACACACTGCAACTATAATAAACTATTTGTTCCTAAAGTTAGAAAAACCACACGAAGCTAAAGATTTGCCTCTGATGATGATGAAAGTTGCTAGTGACTTTGTTATGAAACGGTGAAATAAGTACATATATAGATTGAAAGTACATGCGTGGAAAAATAATTTTACATTAAAATGTCGTAAAAGTGTCTCATAATGTACTATGCTGATCTTGCAGTTTTTTCTGAAAAATGATACACGTTTGTTTGTAATTCATTTTTCCTATAGACTTTAAATGTTGTCACTTGTCATCCATTGACGCACGAAATAAGTAGGTAACAATTAGACATAATTTCTAATGTGCTATTATGTTACTTCACTTTTTTGTCGACTGTTACCGAACTACAATTCTTTTTGTCTGCAATATAAAACTACAATGCGGAGTAAAATCTGAATTGCTTACAAGAAACGATACCACTAATTACAACAACAAAGCACCATGTTGCAGCTCATTTCACAGCGGTGCATGTGTGCAGTTCTACAAAAAAGAAAACAGTTTTTTTATTGTTTCAGATTCGCCTTTCGCCAGATTAAAGCATAACTCATTTATCATACCACGATTTTCTTGTAATAGACATACAGAAAATGTTATAATAATGGGAAAAGTACTCTCAGTAATTACAATAAAAATGTAGGTAGTAGGTAACTCAAGGAAGTAGGTAGTAGGTAGGTAGTCATGTCACATTCACCGTTACTTGAAATGACATATAAGAAAGTTATTAAAACATCAAACAGCCATGATAGAAACAATGAAATTTAATAGTGGTTTCGAAATAATAAACTGTGGACTGTGGTCACAAATACATTCCACAACTACCGAAGTTTAGTAGTACTCTTGCAGGTGGGTTACCTTGAAAGCGGTCAACTTTAGATGGCACAATGTGGGTTAAAGTTCTATTTAAAGAATCGCACACTCAAATGGTCTTCATTGATTGCTTCTATGGTGAATAAGGTTTTAACAGGACTTGCAATAACACATTTTATAATCAATGTGATCACGTTTATAGTTAGTGAAAATTGAAAGAGAATCGTTACATGTAAATAATAATATATCATGACTGACCTGTAGAGGATTCAAGTGGAGTAATGGTAATTCTCTCTATCACTTACATTACGAATCAAGGAATCAAAAGTAGCTTATCAAGGGGAATAATATGGGTTTATTCGTGGGATACCTACATACAATTTTTCCCAACATTCCTTGTAAAAAAATGTAGTGTTATATAATTTGAAATAACGTAAACCTAGAGAGAAAGCCGTAGACATTTGCATGAGTAGGTAGCATTTCGCCACTGAGTAATTTATACTGCCACAGACGTATTTTTGACAGACACATTAGAATAATCACAACCATTATAATTTACAAGTCGTGATGAGAATTATGGCAACACTGCAGATAGGGCCGATTTCCGAATTCAACTTGGCAGATTTCAGGTGTATTTTGGGTGCAATAATTCTATTTACCAGTTTTAATTGCGAAGATTTACGTTACTCCGTATTGAATCAACAGAAATTATTATTCAGGTTAAGTTAGTAAACGAAATATATAGATTTGTTGTCATAGCCTCTAACAAAACAAAGCCCTTTAAAAGGACTTGAATTGGTTCAAATACATTACAAGATCAAATATCACCTACACCCTACGTGGTCGTCCGGTTTCGCCGAAAAAACCCCACGTACAAGTTAAAATTGATAGTAAAACTGAAGCGACAGCAGCATTAATTTGTAGTTTCGACATTGGTTTCGAGCAGTGGCAACCTTCTAATGAAAAACAAAAAACGTAGAAACCTCATATATTTTAAATGAACAGATTTTGCTAAACGATCTCGATAAAATTTCGAGCAAAATTTAGTATGGGGTGTCTTTTTTTCCTCACTTACCTTACATAGATTTAGAAAGTGCTCGAGATGTTGTAAACCTGTAAAAAAGGACGATTACTAATCAAAATTAACACCCAATATACAGTTGTTACATTTTCTATACAGATTACTACATATCCTTTGCATTTAATGGCTAGATCCGCTACGAATCAAATCCATTACATTTATTTTATAATAATAATTTATATTTTTGGATTTTCAAAACAGTAAGCCAATAAAAATTAAAGTCGGCAATGGATCCATTCAGATTCATTTCATTTTTTGCGGGATCCGTGGAATGTAACCTTGCAGAAATTGAGGTTTGAACTTTAGAACATAAACAGTGAATTGAGTCTGTTGTGGACGGAAACGATATAGTCAACAATACACCAGGTCAAAAGTACAACTATTTAAGGCAATTAAAAAACGCAAGTGGCATATGTTATTGGACTTTTTTCTTACAAACGTTTTCTGATTAATTATTATAATGATCATGTCATGGTGTGTAATTAATTTATACACCATAGATAAACAGAGCAAAAGTGCAGACCAAACGTAGTCCCTGCTTCCCCAGTCTTTACGGAAGTCAAAATATGTGTCTCTCAAACGCGAAGAAACCTGCCAAAGAAGATGACGGGTATTTGTATCATGCATCAAAAATTTATCTACAGGAGAAGCTTGATCAGGGTTATGCATTCGTCACAGGGTCACAGAGATACCTTCATCGAGGAATATGAAAAGGACACTTAACCGAATTAGAAATACTGCCCATTGATTAATACGTGATCCTTCGAAATCAAAAGAAATATCACTTCCTGAAGAACTAACCACCTTCAATGATGGTCCAAATTTTCTAATTCTCATGAAAACTGTGAAACCATAAGAATGCAATACTTGCCATACTTTACATTCACATACTCCGCTCCGTATGCACTGTCCAGACTTAAGATTAAAAAATCCATCAGTTACATCTTGGAAACCATGAAAGACGTCTTCAGTTTTGTTAGGACTTTTTACAATTTTTATCTGGACAGATGAATCGAATTTTTCGAATAATGGCATGTTTAATGCACGAAATAATCATTATTGGAGCACCGAGAACCCATAATTGTGCGTAGGTGGATTAAAAAAAATGTAGTGTTAACGTTTGGTGTGCTATTTTGAAAGATAAAATATTTATTCATATGTATGAAGGTACTCTCACAGGTGAGGTATTTGCAATTTTTAAGAGACGCTTTATCACATATGCTACATGATGCATCCTTAATGTACCAAACACATTTATATTATCTACAAGACGATGCACCTGACCATAATACGCAAATTTAAATGATATGTTCCCGAATCAGTGGATTTCTAATAACTGTCCTATTCCATAGTCTTGTAAAATAGAAATTGGTTGTTAATTTAACCGACCTCGGAGCTCTTATAGTTCTCGAGATATCAATAGCGGATAAAACAAAATGAACACCATATAAAATAGATATAGGTTATGGTACGTACTCAGGAAAAAGAATACAAAAAATTGGCATTGCGACATATAGGAGGTTGTATTTAAAAAATACTAACTTTGGGTCAAATGTCAAAAACGGTGCCAAAATCTTTTTTACTACGCCACTGGCTTCTACGGAAAATTTCTACGTGGGTAGTAAGATATGGTAACATCCCAAAAAGTTTTTCGTTTTCACCTTGTATCTCAGAAACAAACGTAGCTAGATTGGTTCTGCCTGTGGTATTAAAAGTTCCACAAAAAAAATAGCACAAAGTCGCGAAAATCACAAGTCTCTATCTTTTAAAACAGCCGAGTCTCAAGCAAAATAGGACACTCGGTACATCTTTAGCTATGTACTTACATAATACTTACCATATGCATGCATAAATTAGGTATTTTTTGTACGCGCTCGAAAATACCTCAACCCATTTTAAGCGACTGTAAAAAAATGTTTTTCAAATGTTGGTAAAGCAATTGTCTCACCTATCGTCTCACCTTCATTAACAATAGTGACATCACTATTACAAAAAAAATTTGAAGGCGCAACTGTACCATAAGTAAACCAGGCGCAAGTATCCATTGTTCGATTCGTTTAAACATTCGGTATCTATAGAACGAACTTTCATAATTCAGGAATCGTTAGCATTTATTAATGTAAGGCCTACTTTTATTCTGTAGTGAGCTTGCAACCACAAGATGTGGTGGCTTCGTGTTCATTTAGTGGTTTTGCGCGTCGTTTCCTGGATCTTCATTTTCATGAAACATAAGAAGGATAATTACATCAGTGTTTTTCGACCAACTATTACACTTCCTAGTTAATACGAAAATATTCGTGACCAGCGTCAAAAAATACTCTCTAGAATCTAGATGAAAGGATCGTTCAGTTAGCGATTAGAATAAGTATTCAAAATTTGATCCCCATATACAGGGCGTTTCAAAAAGAATCATCCGATTTTAAAAATTTATTGCTATTCATCTATAAGTCCGATTTGATAGAACAATGTACTGTTAGTAAGAGGAAGCTCTCGAGTTTCGCGTGGTTTCCGCTAGGTAGCAGTAGCGCGCTTCTGTCAACGCCCAGCTCAGTTATTGTCAAAATGGCGTCTAAACAACAGAAAGCGTTTTGTGTTATACGGTTTGCTGAATGTGAGTCTGTGATTTCCGTGCAATGTGAATTTCGTACCACATATGGTGCTGATCCTCCTACAGCCCAGAGCATAAGAAGATGGTATAAGCTAAGGTGTGGGACGAATTTGAGTATCGCATAGACATATGCCGTGCATCTCAAGGGGGCCATATTGAGCACCTGTAAATGGTGTATAAAAAAACTTTATTAGTTATCCTTTAATATAAAATTAACCTCATGTCCATATTATTATTACTATTGAAATTATAAACCTACAAAATCGGATGATTCTTTTTGAAACGCCCTGTATTATTTTGTTTATTTAGTTTATTAACTATAATATAAAAAACGATGAAAATAATTTAATTCCCACTCGTTTAATATTAAGTAAAAATTTATTAAATTACAAAAGTAAACAAGGGAAATATAAAATACATATTTATGATAAACCGCAGACGAAATCTTTATCTAACAAGTGAGTGAGATTAGGTACACGCCGCTGAAGTAGTTTTTCTTGTGGTTGAAGTTGTGTGCTATTCTATTCATAGAACAGAAATGTTATAATTTGTTGTGTATGGAGACAATTTCTTTAAACATTTATTGAAAATATTCAAAACTATTAATTACATGACATTCAAATTATGTCACTCTAACTATCCATCTGAAAAAGAGTTGACGGTAATACCGTTGGCGACTAATTTAAGTATGAAAACGCCACATCATTAATGATCATTTTATTTCAATTTTTAGCGTTTCCTTTTTATAATTTGAGTTTTTATTTAACAATTTTGATTCTTTCTATCGGATAACAAATTAACAGGAAGCAACCTGGAAGCGACAAATTTTTTATTTTGTAGATGAAAACTTCCCTGTCACAAGCTACCCTTACTTATTTTTAAAAGAAATTTAAAATCAATGATTCATCAATAAAGCAGAACTGCAGTCGCAATGCTACCTCAAAACATGAAATACCAATCGTATCCTATTACAGAATGTGATTACACTCATTGCCATAGTGCAGCTATCATATTAATTGAAATTCCATATGCACATGCGAAGCTTTTTGCTCAAGTTGTAATATCAAATGAACGTGGGTGACTATCTTAAGGTCGCCGTAATCATGGCAACATATTTCCTTCTTTTACATTCATTTTCAGGCAGTTGCAATTGTTTGTTACGAATATATTAGTGCGCCTAAACTTGATCATTATACTATAAAATGATACCAAATAAAATATTGACAATAGATAAGAGTATGTACATGAATGAACAAGCTATTAACATATGATAAAGTGGCGTCACTCCACAATCGGGAGGAGCAACAAGGTAACAATAATTATTATAAGCGTATAAAAGAAAAGCCATCCGTTCATGCGATGCACATGTTTGTTCATCCGTCCGTCCTTTGTAATTTTGATCATAAATCAAAAAGTGCAAAACACGCCCAGTTAAATAGCTAGGCAGAGGCGGTACTTTAATCAGTTTAATGGAAGGTGTACCAGTTTTAACATTCACTCCCGTACCCTTAGCTGCCCTCAGTCTGATAGTTATTTATTATAAATAAAACGATAAAGGGACATTTTAAACATTGAGTGAATTAACTTTCACGAGATGGTTAGTTTCTCTTAATCGTATAAGACAAAACTTTATTTTATAGCAAATGCCATATAAATCATTGTAAAGCTTCTGACAATTCTGAATTTAATTTAGACGTCAACAATAAAAATAGCAAGCTTAGGTTCTTCCGTCGCGGTGGTTTGCAGAGAAACAGCATTGTCATATGTTCTGAACGTCGTTTTATATCGTGCTCCGCGTCAGATTTGACATAAGAATGGCAGATGTCTTTAGAATGCACAATCATATGTTTCACTTTATCTACCCTCACTTAGACTACTCATGTCAATTTCTGCTATAAAATAAAATTAATTTTATTAATTGTCTCTACAACCACAAGTGCACAAACAATAGTACAGTCTGTATTGAAATTCTTCACGGACATTAGCGAAAGTGTCTCTTGTAATCGGCCTACATGTATGTATTGCTCTGTGTCTTAGCTCTTAAATACTGTTAGGTGGAAACAAACAGGACGCGCATTGAATCGACTCGGATCGACTCGACACGACTCAACGCCTCCGCCGGATTTGCTATGCAAACATTTAATTATCCGCGCACTGTGTCGGTTCGGGTACGATATCACCGACGGGTTAATCGCGGAATGCTCGAAGAGGTAAAAATTACCGATCGCCGACGGACATTGTCAAGAGATTTGACTGTGAAAGTTTATTCAGTGGCGTGATTATAAACTCCCAAATATTATGTCTGAGTCTGAATGGGAGTTATTAATTGAAAATGTACGTCAATACAGTATAGTCCGGGCGAGAATTTTGAGATCTTAACTTCTAACGGCAAATCTTGAGACATTTTGGTGACAAGTGTTTTTAGGGTAATTGGACCCTGCTGAATCCGATTTTGCCTGTCACCACCTCGAATTCCGGCTGCTAAGGCCTCAAATCTAGATGGCGCCCAAAATGGCGACTAAAACTCGCTTTAAAATTTGTTGTAACCAAAGATATTTATGATTTTTATCTAGTACATACGTTTAATTATTTATTACTATCGTATAAAAAAATATGTAGCCAAAAACAAATTAAGATGGTGGCCAAAATAACGGTAGAAACTTGTATTAACTAATTTCTTTAGTTGCAAAGAAAAATTTGCATTTTTTACATGGGGTTGATACAAATAGGTTAAAAATGAGTTTGTCTACCTACTATTGTTAATAATAACAATTTGCGAAAAAATAAAACAAAATGGTTCCCAAAATGCGGATAGTATGACTTTTGATGATATTTTAATAGCAATTATCGAAATCTTTTTGAGTGCATTAGGGAGGTATTAATAATTATATTATAAGATCCTTATTAAGTTTTTTTAGTTTTACAAATAGAACGCCAAATATTGTTTATACCTACAGCATTTGAAACGCACGCGTAATTTAGGACTTCCATCACAGCGACGACGCAACGCGCGCAGAGTTACCGATAGCGCGAATCTGCTGGCTACATGCTAGGTACCAAGTTCGAAATATTTTGACTGTGGGTGTGCCGTGCCAAAAGCATGCAAAAGCAAAAGTTTGGTACATTGTGGTTGCAAGAAAGGGTGCAAAACTAACATGTGCAAGTGCCGGAGAACTGTAAATTCGAAAGGCAAACGCATGCTGTGCACCAGAAGTTGCCAATGCAAAAGCGTTTGCACCAACAACGAAAGCTTGTGCAAACTTCGGATTCAAGTGACGAATCCGAATAAAGTCTAATGTTTTTGTTCATTTCTATTTTTTTAAGTTTTGTTTTCAATTTATTTTTTTATACAGAGTTTGTATACGGTAATAAATAATATGAAATTAAACGAAAAATAATGATTTTAATACTACCTGTATATCGCATACAAAGAGTCAAACTAAGCGCCATCTTGTCCGCCATTTTTGAAAAAGTTTAAGTAAAGTTTTTGTATTTCTTTTTTACTTAAGCAGGCACTTTGTAAACAAATTATAATTCTTTTGCTCACTTAAGGTAGAATAAATCAAGAATACTACAAAACGCGGCATTTGGAACTCTATTTCAGCCGCCATCTTAAATTTTTTTGGCTTCAAAATTTTTCATAAACTAGTACTAAGTGGCAAAACGTATGTGCTACATAAAAATCATCATAATATTTTTGTTTTCAACAAGAAAAAAATGTTAAAGTGAGTTTTAGTCGCCATTTTGGAGTACTGTGCCGACCATTAACGCCAATCGATACATCCTAGGAAAACAATATAAGTTGTTGTCTAGGTGATACAAATTTAATAATTTAAGAATTGATTCATTCTGTTCATGTTTCAAAATAAAAATCCTGTATTTTGCAATAAAACGCTACACTATCAAGATAATCAGCTATATAGTAAATCTGGAACCAAATGATAGAATTCACCATATTATGTCTCCCTTTTAGGGAGGTTTCTATCTATCTACCTATTGGAAATGGAGGAAAGAAATCCACCTACCCGTGAACGGCCGAATCGAAAGGGATTTTTTTTAGATTGATGTCATGAATCCAGAATCTCGGTGTTATGTTTTCTATTTCATTACATGCCTGTCAGAACCCCAGAAATTAGTAATCGTAGAATATTCGTCCCCCGGAAGATTCACTCACTATATACTCGCCCACCAACTGAGCTACAAGCCGAGCATATTCGTGAACATGCACACAATTTTTTATCGAGCCGAACCTCGTGCAGTGAAGAAAATCGACACGATCCACGTATTTAGACAAACGCGGGAAATCTGGTTATGCACTTGCAAATATGTGGATCGTCTAATCAACTTCGAACCCAGTCATGTAACATTCTTTGATGTTTCGACAGAATACCGCCAATAGATGGATCGGTTTGAGCTTGCTCGCAGTGCGCGCGACGGGGTTCTTCTCGCGACTCAGTTCGATAGTTTGAACCTGACTCGAACCATGCTTATGTTCGCGGCGGGATTTGGATTGCGGTTCAGTTCGATAATGTGGACCCGGCTTTACAACTGCAGTTGTATATATACTCTTTATTTGGTTAAGCACAAACAAGTCGAATATGAGCATCTTCTAAACGTTTTACGCTTGATGTACGCCTTAAAAATGAATCAATATCCATCCCCTTAAAAAGTAAGGTTACATGATCCTTATAAAGCATTTTCTCTTAATGATTGTCTTAAATGAATTATACCACCTTCTAAACATGTTTGCCAATGCCTAAGTAAAAAGCATTAAAAACTTTACGCGCCAAATTTAATCTGTTATTTTGGATCGCCCGGTATATTTTATCACACGCACCGATAATTACCTTCTAAACACACAAAAATGAGAGTCGGAAATGTTCAGTGATATTTATATAATAACATCATCAATAAAGTATCAGGTGTATATTTTTAAAATCTTTGATGTAGACTTAGATATAAATAGACTCGACGGAAATGCTCGATTAAAAGTAAAATTATTTATTTTCTTTATTCAACAATTTGAAATAAAATGTATATTAATAGAATAAACAAGCTGATAAAAATTTACGATTGTTTGTGGAACCCTCTACCCTTCCACAGCAGCCGTGGAACGCATAGGGTCGTCATTATCAAATAATTTAGGAGCGTTCGGAAATAGTATATTGAAAGACAAGTGTTACAATGCGACCTATTGTAATACGACTATCTTGTGGCACGAGTGGCGACGCGAAGCGTAGCCACGAGTG